AAAATCCGTTTGTGTTCACAGGCTAACCAAAATCACCTCTTACGAGATTTGCTTTCGTTCTCGGCATGCTGAGATAAATGGAAACAGATAGCTCGTTGATCGTAGGCATCAGCTAAATGTTATTTTAATTAGCGGCAAAATTTGAATGTTACGGTGAAGTGACGATGATAATTCATCGTTTTTGTTCTTCCAAAGGCATCAGTGTTAATACAAGTTTTATTTTCACTGTATTTTTATTATTCACCTTATGTTATACTACGTAGATGACTCTATTGTTTTAACGAGAAAAACGCTATTTCTCCACGACTTCTATGTTTTATGCGACCGTTGTTTCGGCTTTGCACCATTGCACAAACAGCCAACAAAGTGCTTGAAAGGTGGCGTGTCCTTGCCTTTTATAGGATCGCTCCGTGTTTAACAAATAATTGACGTCAGTTTTTTTATGCGTCTGTCCTCTTGTTGATGATAAATTGCGTCATAACATTGTCATAGTGGCTGTGGAACCACGAGTCGCATCAATTTGTTTTTTTACAATAACAAGACCCCAAAATGGTCAAATGCCGGGAATAAATGAGGAGAAAAGACGCCGTAAACTTGCTGTAAACAAAGACAAGTGTATTTTTGTCAAAATGACGCAAGAACTGTCAATAGCTTTCCTCGCTTTTTGATTGGGTACTTAAAAAAGTCCATAAAATCTCATTGGTTAAAAAGTTGACAGTTTGACAGCTGAAAGTTGAACTTGAAAGCTTGCATAAGTTAAATTTTTTTCCGTCTGTACTCCTATTGATGATAAAAATGAACCAATCAGCGCGCGAGAAATTAGACAGTTGTTGTAAAAAGTTTATTTTCACTTCATAATTTACTAAACACGCGACAGTTTCTGTTATCTTCGTTTCTTGAACATATGTCTTGGACTGTAAACAGCTGTGTTTAAAGTCACTATTGACTTGCTTCCCTAACCCTAAGCGCAGATTAGACAGCGGAGAAGCTGAGAGATGGCCATGTAACAGATCAAAACTATTGTGGATTAATCGTCCGTGAAATCTTATCCTGCAGAACAGGCGTAATTTTGCTGCGTATTTAGGTGAACAGAGGCGAAAGCAAGGTGACCGCGAAGCGCGAGTCGCACGCGAAGGAAGAGCGCGCTTTCCAATCTGGAAACCAATCTGGGTGTTGCTCGAACTTTATTTGAAAATAAGCTTAAAAAAGAGTAGGCTTGATTACCTGCCGCTGTTCAGGAAAGGATCCCAGGCTAGTAAACGGGACTCAAGAGTGGCGGAAATCAGGCCAAAAAAACCGAAATGAGAGCGTTTTTTTGTAATGCTCATCTCTTCGACTACACGCTTAAAATAGTGGCGTTTCGTCCGTGAACACCTTAGTGAGACCAAAATCTTTGATTTACATCCCTGAGCAAGACCACGAGTATCCCCGACCTTTTCATACGGGAGTTCCNCCCGCCCCCCCCCCGGGAAAAAAAAATCGCCGTGACTTGATCGTAGTTCACCGTTTCTCAGCAAGATGGCACTGAAATTATATCAAAAAACCATCCATGATTCCTTTCAAAAATGACGCTACGCTTGTACTTTTTTCCAGTACAACCTTTCCAGAAACAACCGTATATATAAAAGTCGTTCATCTCTAGTTATGAAGGCTTGGTGGAGGTACTGGAGAACTTGTCTGAAAGTGTCGAAATTGACATGTGCAGGACATTGACATGTGCATGATGCCAGATGACTGTTTCATGGGCGAAGAGAGAAGTGTGCATGAAAGGAATAAAAAGAATGAGAATTCGTATTTTACAGTACTGAGAGAAAAAAACGAAGTAATATCTCTTGATCTAGACGACCTGTGTATAGAATAGGAAGGAATCTTGTAGCTGGACTAAAACAGAGAAACACGGGAAATTAATTCTACCGTTGGGTGACAATCGTCCGGGGGGGGGGGAGAGGCTTTCAAGGTGATCTGTTCCTTAAAATTTCTGTTCATCAGCCGATTTCTTGCCGGCGGGGAAACCCCTATAGAAACACACCGCCATTTACTTAACCCTAAGATGGAGTATTTCCTGTGGTAATAATGGAAATTACTTTATTCTTCAAGTTTCCTCGACCAACACTGAAGGTGCAAGTATGGGAGTGGAACCACACTCATCCTCCTAATACCCCCTCCCCCACTGTAAGTGTAGACATTTCCCTAGTACGGACTAATTACTGTTCGTACTTTGCTCGCCTGGAAACCCCAGAAAAAGCAAAGCGAGAAAAGCATCCCATCGCCTGATTGATTTATATCATCATCTTGACTAATCGCGCTTATGAGTTCTTTTCCGGTAGCTACAATCACTTGAAATCATTTTTTAATGACTGTATTTCAAATTTGGAGTATATGCACCCAGAAAAGACAACCACTGAAGTCGGGCCTGTTTTTTTGCGTTCCCATTGACTTCCCCAGTCTCCACTGTGGTGCATCCAAACTTTACCACTTAGGTTTATCAGAGCAAATGGGCAAATAACTCAATGACCTACTGAAGAAGAACGACAGCACCAACAACAATATTTATTTTGCTCTATTACTAAAATAATTTTAATCAATATATGAATAAAAATACATTATATAGGCGCCTAGTCACTCAGTAACAATTACTTAATATAACCAGTTGGTCAGGAGTCAATCCCGAGAAAACCAGCTCAAATTCCCGTCTTTTTTTCTTCTCTATCCTTATAAGCTAAGATGAAGAAAAGAAAAGGAATTCCTTTGCAGTGACTTTATAAAGCGCGCTGTCACATGCGAAAAAACCAAAGTAGCAAATTAAAAAAAACGTTTCTTTCGACAATAAATCGAAAACTGCTTACAACGGAATTTAAAGCCATAAATCTTCTAAATACAATTTTCATTGCTACGTGATTTTGAAAATTGTTAACGAGTTTTTCTTATAATTACGCGTCCCTACAATTATGAATTATAGATGTTACAAATTAAGCAGGGAGGGGAGGGTGCATTTAATGCGTTACTCGAGGGTAAAGAGGGTGCACGGTTCCATTCAAAATGGGCACTGACACACTTTCAATGACACAGGTCAGGGGAATGTCGCACGGTGCATCATCGAGCTCAAACAGGACCACTCTACTTCCCTGTTGTCCCGCGGACAAGAAAGATGCCGGCACATACAGAGTTTCTTGAGGTCCAGCGTCCGGCCAATAACGGCCGAGATTAAACCCGTTGACGTAAAGTTGACCCTGAAAATTAAATATGATTAATCTGGTTAACCAGACCACAACAGCAAAACGAAAACATATTGGTCACCGAGATCTGATCCATACCCAAAGAGATTGTTCATTCGTGTTTCATTTTCAAGGTGAATTCTTTTGTTTTAGTCCCCCAAGGCTCAGAGCCATGGTAGAATAGACCATATTCGTATTCTCGGTATTGAACTGGAACTAGCTTGAAATGGAGGCTCATACGGGTGAATATCATTAAAAAGAGATCAATGTCATTTGCATTTGAAAAGACTCCCCATATTAGGCTCAGTTGCAAGCTAGTTCCAGTCCAATACCGGGAATACGAATATGACCTATTCTAATGTACCGAAACTGGCTTATTTACTTGCAACGGGTTCCAAATTTTCTCTTGTTTTTACATGTAATGCACGACAAATGTTGCAGCATTTTTAAACTTGTTTTAAAATCTTAGAGAAGCGTAGCTTCAGACAACACTTAATGCGAAACGTTAAATAAACGACCTTTGCATTATTCAAGCAGTGCGAGCTATTTAGATGCAAAAGTCTCTTGGGACAAGGTTGTGCTGTGCCAATCCGCCGTAAGACGTGAAATTTGTCTGAAAGGCCTACTTGAGACGTCGTGCTTCTGCCGTGCCGAACTAGATTCAGGAATAAGTTCGAGAACAGCACGCGTCCGGCAGAAGCACGGCATCTGAATAAAACATTTCAATTATGTTCGGCCAGCACTGTTCAAGCAGTTACGTTCGACAAGCTCTGACGTGCTGGCACGACTCTGGCATGGCAGCGATTCAAACGTAGTGCTTCTGCCGCCCTAAACAAAGGTCAAAAATAATACTTAGGTACTTTGGCGGTATGACATTCCACCGGGCGTAACAAGGAGAACTGTTTGTGGCTTCAGTAAATCCTGCATTTGGTACGACACTGGCACTACGTCCGAAACAGAGTCGTTTTTCTGCCGTGCAAAACGTGGGTTCTAATTTAGCACGGTAGAAAAACGACTCAGCGCGACGTCTGAACTGGGACCTGTTTCTCGAAAGCCCCGGAAACCTAGCGGGCCCACAAAGCCATTTTTAGTTAATCGGTTTTTAAAGACAGAGAGGTGTATACGCCTGAAACTTCTTGTATGAAGGGAACCTTTGTTCATATTAAGAATATGTGAATAAAACAGCTCTGTAGTCATGAAGTTTGAGATTTTGTTATGGGTTTTCGGGTGTGAAAACTTTTTGGGACCTTCGAGAAACTGGCCTCTGGGCTTTAGGTTAATTAGCGAATATGCAACCATACCTTATGCCAATTCCGAAACCTTATGAATGTGTCTTTTGGGATGCCATCTGGTGTGGGAAAAATTAATCCTGAATAAAATGTAGGCGTGAAGGTATCACCCACTTTACTTGTGGAATGAATCTGCGGTTTTTCCCACCCAGTAATGTTGTCTAAGTTCAGCGGGTACATTTCCCAGCTGGTGAGGATCTCCTTGTTAATGGTCACATTTCCAACAATTCCTTTGGGATCCTGCATGTCAGAGCTCCCTGTATGATGACCTTGGTTCTCCACCAGTATGTCCAGTGTTAGACTTCTTTCAATGGTTAACATTGTACTGTTCGGGCCTGATCGGTGTAAGGTTGCCTGTCGCACCTATAACATGCAGGAAGCAATAGTAATTTTCCACAGTTGCCCTCGGTTTCAAAACAATTTCTGGAGTAAATGACACTTGGTCCTGCAGCTGACCTCGCTTTGTTGAGAACCTTCGCCTCCCACCCATGTCGCGCGGGTTCGAATCCCAGACCCAGGGTTTCTCTCTGGGTTCCCCGGGTGTCGTCTCTTCTCGTTCAGCCGAAGAATATCCGATTTCCTCCGGATGGAATGGAGGTTAATCCCTCGGCAAGTTTTTGTCATGTTACCATAACAATCCTTCTTTACCCATTTTTAAACCTAAGGGGCAGGAGAAACTGCCAGTGTACGTACCTTGGTCAGAAACATAGCACAGTACCTTGAAGTCAGAACAGAGCCCTAAAATAATGGACTTTGTAAACAAATGCATTTGTATAATTTTTTAGTTGATTTTGAAAATAACGGTTAGCAACTCTCCTTTTAAAAGGAAAAATGAAGACATATGCACGTATTCGTAAAGCCCCTTAAACTCTAAAGGAAAGATGCTGGGTTCACTAAACGAAAAAAGTAAAATCGCGATATACCTGTCCAACAAAGATAATTCCCCGGTCTCGCAATCCTGCGATTTCCAGCTCCACCTGTTTGTTGGCATACTTTGAAGGAATCTGAGTTCGGTACAACATAAAGCCATAGTTTTGTCCAACATTCTCCATGGTTTGGGTAAAGTGAGATTTTTTTGGGCCAACAGGAGAGAGTTCTTCCAAGACTTCAAACAACGAAGCCACCTGAAAAGAGAAAACAAAGCTGACATGAGGATTTTGACAAAATAAGTGTAGTAAATCTGAAAGAAGAAAAAAACATATGAACGACGACAGGTTTTCAGGTTTTCTGCGCAATGCTATACAATATAATATACCCCAATTCAATACGACACAACCCATTGCAGCACAAAAGAACGGCACAACTCAACCGGCAGCAACACAACCAAACACACGTATAGCATAACGTAACGCATCAGAAGATCAAAACAGAAACACGATTATTGAGCAGGAGCTTTGCTCTGCCGATATCAAATTCAGCCGGCGTTACCCACCACATCATCTCTCCTCCTGACATCGCGACTTCATTTCCTTACGAACAAATTGGAAGTAGATGCAGAGATTGAAATCTATGTTACATTGGGAGCGTTTTTCTCTATTTCCACAGGATGTTGATATCCCAAGCGAAAAAAAAATCTTGGAAGCCGCGTTATACTTAAGTTACATTATCCTACTAACAATTGCACCTTGGTCATATTTATGGCTCCATAAGCGTGCTTAGTAGTTGGTGGAGGAACAGGCATTGGCGGGACTCCCTGGTGTTTCAAGATCACTTCTCTCATGACCAGGTATTTGTGTGTGGGGTCCCCAGCTTCACTGATTGGTGCATCATAGTCGTAGCTTGTTATCTGAGGTTCGTAGACTTTGCCTATGTTGGCACCTGCGTGAGAACAACTATATATGTAAGGAGGTCTTCCTCATCAAGAAGAAGAAGAAGAAGAAGAAGAAGAAGAAGANGTTGGCACCTGCGTGAGAACAACTATATATGTAAGGAGGTCTTCCTCATCAAGAAGAAGAAGAAGAAGAAGAAGAAGAAGAAGATAGAGTTAATAGTAAAGACATTTTATTGCCCGATATCAAAAAAAAATGTCACGACTTGTTTTTTAACGCATCCTCCTTCGCTAAAAGCTGGTGTCATATTACACCCCTACTCCCATAACGGCCACCTCTCTGTAACGTTTCACTGTGTAAATGATACAATTTTACTGGTAGATTTCCGGGGTAGAGTTCCAGGCACAAATAATACCCAGATTTCATCCCTAGCTTTCGGGGGGTATACCATTTCTATATTTAAAAAATACTGGCTGTAGCATAGAAATATCTAACACAATCAAAATATATCAATAAAACAGAGACCAACGACGCGCGGTACGGATCAAGTTTCATGACCTTTTACAATATAACACGGGAACTGGGAAACACCATTCACCAGTCGTTGATTAATTGGCCGTTGTGAAGAAGTTATTTTGATAGTTTAGGGCGCGGTTTAGTGGCCGTTGCCGTTGTGGAAAGGTGGCCGTTGTAGAGAGGTTCAAATAAAAGTGAATGTATGGACCATCCGCAAGGACGAAGAAAGTGGCCGTTGTAAAGAGATGACCGTTGTAGAGAGATGGCCGTTGTAGGGAGTTGGCCGTTGTAGGGAGGTGGCCGTTGTAGGGAGTTGGCCGTTGTAGGGAGGTGGCCGTTGTAGGGAGGTGACCGTTGTAGGGAGGTGGCCGTTGTAGGGAGGTGGCCGTTAATGGAGGTTCGACTGTACTCAATTAGAGAAAATGTAAAGAAACATAAGTTAGTTATCACTTTGAAAAAGGTTAACTTAATCTTTGTGGGAAATCAAAGAGAACACTTGACTGAGCGTTCTTTTTCCTCTGCAGATTAGAGACGCCATCTTGTGGTAGATGTTTCACTTGTCCTGTGACGCACTACCACAGTTTCTTACAAACCATTTTGTCTAGAGTACGATAGTGGTGTTTGTGTAAAGCTTGGGAAGCATGACTCGGTAGGGTGTCTCGATTCATAGTTAATAGAGGGAAACGGTTAGAAAACCTGGCAAAGTTCTTTGTTGTATTGTTTTGTTGGTTATTTTGGGGGTTGACCCTGCACAAAACCTGGCAAAATACAAAAGGTGGTTATGCGTGCTCATACGACTAACCAATAGAAGCATTGCTATTATGTAATTAACGCATAGTCAATGAGTATAAAACAAAAGACGTGCAGGGTCAAGGAACTTCCAACATAAATCTTAGTCCATTTGTTTGCTTCTTTGATGTTTACCGGGCTTCTTGACTTTTTCCCTATGCTCGATACCATTCAACTATGCTCGATCGAAGAAGCAATTATCACAAAGTAAAAGAATCCATTGAATACAATACCGTTCATGAATCCAAAATTTGTTCCTCCGTGAAACATGTACACGTTCACGGAGATATTAGCGCTCAACAAACTGTCGAGGTTCTTGGCCACAGTGTCTGCATCCCGGTGCTGGAAAGGGATTCCCCAATTGTTTATCCATCCAGGATAGAACTCCGAGTTGACCAAGGGACCAGAGGGTTGAAAGTATCTCTGGTTTTTAAAGCACTCTTCTCCAGGGTTTCCTACCGAAACAAGGAAATCAAAACACACAAGCTTGCGCGTCGTTTACAGAAACAGTCCAGCGAGAAAGGCAGTTTATGAGGGGGAAAAACCACGTTGATTGTGACGAAAGAAGACTGACCACTTCTCATAAGAGCTGTAATGCATTTATCTTGTATAGTATAAGCCTTTTTACAATAACTGCAGAAAATCTCGCAAGCTCATTATATTCGCTAATTTTCATTGTTAGTAATATAAGTGGACAAGCGCCTGAATTTATAAGTTATGCGATGTTGCTATTAAAAAAGAAAACGACGTCAGTTTTTCATGCGTCTGTCCTGTTATTGACAATGAATTTCGTCATAACTTTGTCGAAGTAGTCTGCGGATCCATTCAGCTGACAGCCGAGTTTATCCACAGCTACGTCATTATGACGAAACTCATGAACAATAACAGGACAGACGCATAAAAAACTGACGTCAATTTGTTAAATTTATCGCGGTCCTTACACCTACTTATGCTAAAGGTCAGTTTTACATACTGAACAATTGTTATATCTCAGTAATGGCTATTGTTGAAATGAAAATACCTGTTATGAAATGTATTGATAAAAAAGTCCAGAAGGGTTCACACGTTTTAAAGTTACTGCCAGTTTCTCGCTCTCGAACAACAAATCCAGGGCGAAGTAAACACGAGGTACTATGTCTCTGGTTCCAACTCATTGGTATCTACCACACTAGCCAAGCTGATTTTATACGACTGTTGGAACGCCTGCTTCGTCTACGCACAACAAGTGACTTGGGTTTGGGCGGATTTTTAACTATATTGTCCTAAAACGAAAGAGTGGGTGCGTCCCCTTGTCTATCGCCAAATCATGATGAACAAAATTACGCTGCAGAATTTGCCAGGTTTGTACTACCTTTTTTAACAGAATATCCTCTCAGAAGAATACTCGCTAAGGAATGTTTTACATAACCTCCGCCAAAATCCAGCGTGGAAAGCATTCCGGGCAGCGTTCCACACTCCAGCATTCTGTTGGCACAGCCGTTGTTTGTGAAAAGAACGACATCCTTGCCAAGATATGTCATAAACAGATCTTGTAAATGTGCCAAGTACTGGTGATCGCACTGTTCTATAGAACCATACTCGTTTTCTACCTGAAAAAAGAAACGGGCTGATTTCAAACAGTTGAGTGATCGTGTTTCAGGTATGACGCTCTACAAATACTGAGGAATTCAACGCGCCCCCCGCCCCAGGGGTGAGTCTGGATGCCGGTGCTAAATAAAACCGAGGGAGAGTTAAGATGGACCTTTCTTGCAAGAATAAACGAATTAAAGGGGGTGGGGGGAGGGGGGGGGGGGGGGGCAAGGGCATCGACGCGGACGGGCGGGTAGACGAAAGTGAAAATGAGTCTTTTCTTGCTCCTCTGTGCAGAAAGAAAGATAAAGTGTTTTGGCTCTTCTTATGTAAGGTCCTAGAAGCTAAAGCAATTTATGAAATATTCCGCAGTCGCTAGTAACAAAAATAGATTAAATGTGCATACTCATTTTAAAATCGATGTTTCACTGGCTGGTCAGAAAAACCTGAAAAATCTCAGTTCTTTCAAAATTATTCCACAGTCTATAGGGCTTCGACCATTTAACCTACCAAATATGATATAATGGAGAATTTACAGGGAGCGGCCCTCTTACAGCGTAGGGCGAATATGCCGCTTCTCAACTGAATTCACGGGCGTCATCTGCAGATATTTATGGACACGTATTGTTTGAAATAATAACATTTGTGTCCTGTGAGTTATCTCCGCACCTGAACAGCGATAACAGGTCCACCATTAGAATATATCAAAGGTTTTATTTTTGGCAGCAAGACTTTCATCCATCTGTCCACTGCACTCATGTATGCTGTCGAGAGATCAATAACAAAGTGAGTTTTAATTGATGTTCCCAACTCTCAAAACTGAAAACGAAGTGAAATGTACTGCGATCTGTAAGGATAGTTGTTACTTTGATCACACTTGAGACTAAAAACTAGAGTTAGTTGGTTGGTCATCATATCATTGACTCACCAGTGTTCGATAGCGTTCTAAAACGAGGGGAATATTCTGCCGTGTAGTTTTTCAGCAACCAAGGAGGAAAGCCACCCTGCAAAGAATTGCAAAGCATTATTCACGTTACATCACCTACATTACCGTTTACAGTAGGTTAATTTTGCTTTTCTGTTAGGCAGAAAAGTCTCGAAACAGTCTTCTATGGTATAACGCGAACGCATACAATACCTAGGACAGGTGTTATTGTATTGATGTGACGCAACAACTATATTCAATATGTTCTGATTGCCGAAGATTCCCTTTTCTTTCTTGATTTTAACCATCCTCGGAGATCCAGGGACGGTTAGTTGGGGCGGGCGAGGTAAATTTGGCACAAATTGAAGCAACGAAAGGTTTACTAGTAGGGGCTATTCACGCCTTTTTCCTTGGAAACTTTCGTCAATTTTTGCCAGATTATATTGACCCCCCCTCCTCCAACTAGTTGTTCCTGGGTCTCCGAAGATGTATTATAACGGATCGAGAGTTAGTACAATAAAAACTTTTAAGCGTTGCACTGTACCTACCATATCTCGCTCGGCAGCAATAAAAGGACCTGAAAGAGAAACACGTTATCTGTTACATAGATGTAAGGTAAAGGTAAAGTATGTATACGAGCCAAGGCCGGAGCTTATATCCTGGAGTGCTTTCCATTATGCCAAAATTTCGGAAATTTCGGTCGGAAGTCAAATGGAAAGGTCATTTTCGTTTCGATCCGATCGGAATATTTGGGACCACCTCTGGAGGTGGTCCAATTTGATCGATCGGACAGGTCGGACCGAGATTTGGCGTTCCATTTTGACAAGCCGCTACCCTACTTCACTTCAGTAGATTTCAGTTATGTAGGGAATTCAGGAAAG